CTCGCCGCGCGAGCCCCAGGCCCCGGCGCACCCCCGGGCACTGCCACGTCTTCCTCCATCGAGCACCCGCCTGGCGCCCAGCTCTCCGGCCTCTGCGGCAGCCCCATCATCTTCCTCTGCTCTCGCCAGCCGGTGGGAGCCCGCCCAGCCCCGCGCCTCCACCGCCCCCCTCCAGGACCGGCTTGGTCTGGCCATGGCACTACAGCGGCCGGAGGACACGGTGGGTACACGGCTCCTCTCTGCGGGCTGCTGCGTGGGGTCCTGCTTGACTGATGGGATGAGGGTCCTGGGCAGGGGACGTGGGTGGCAGCATGTGGAGCCGCGGGCAGGCAGCGTCCCTGGGCTCCCCGCACGGCTCCCACTCAGGACCGAGCCTGAGCCCCCCGGCTGCCTCCAGCCCCTCGTCCCCCCTGCTGCTCCCCGATGCTGAATGTGGGGTTCTGTCCCCCCTGGGGCCCTACTCGATGAATGTCACCGTCCTCTCGACACACGTGTACATAAACGTATTTTTAAATAAAGCTCTTTGCTCCTCGAGCGTTGTGGTGGGGTGAAGGGGAGGAGTGGCCCCCCACGGCCCTGTGAGCCGGGTCATGGCGGGGGCTTGGGGGCGCCGGCTGAGCAGGGGTCCCCTTTGGAGGACGATGCTGGGTCTCTTCTCCCCCTTGCCGAAGGGGAAGCCCAGCACCGGCCCTGGCTCTGCTCCCGGGGTCCCCCTGAGCTGGTCCTGCCCCGTGCGCATGGCGCTGGTGGTGCCCCAGCTGCCCCTGCTCCTTGTCACGGGTTTCTGGCCCTGCACTGGAGCTCCCTGCTCTGCTCATCGCTGGGTTCTTTTTCTCCTTCAGGTTCTGATCCTATTCCAGTCCCTGCTGCTCCTGGCCCCGCTCTGCTCCCTGGGCTCCTTTGCGGGGCTGTATGGGATATGGGGGGTGGGCAGGTGCCTCTGCGGGCACTTTCTCTGCAACCAGAAGCAGCCAAGGGAGGTGTGGGGTGGCAGCGGTCCCGTAGCGTGACCTGGCACCATCCTCCTCGCAGTGCTCCTCCTCAGCACTCAGCGGTGACACCTGCACCCAGCAGGGCTTGCAGTGTCAGTGGTAGTCCCAGCGTCAGTAGGGCTCAGAGTGAACAAGAGCTGCTGTGAGAGAGGCAGGGGTGGTTCGTGCCCAGTGCTGCAGGGAGGGGGGAGAGGCTACTCAGGGCTTGGTGGCAGGAGGTGTCCTGGGAGCTCTTGGCCCTGGCATGGCACAGCGGTGCCCGTGGGCTCTGGTGCTCCCTCGGCTGCTGCCTCTGCACGGGGCTGGGTGGCTGCCGGGGCCTTTCCGTTGTGGTGGGAGAGCCCTTCAGCCCTGCCGGCTCCCCGGGCCCAAACGGCTCTGAAGGCTCTCCCCACCTCCCCGCTGTTCAGCTCCAGCTGGCGGGGGGATTCCTGGGGTGACTGGGCAGGGAGCTGGGCTGCGCCCGGGCTGGGGCTGTGCCAGGCCCTCCCACCCCTCCTCGGTGGTGGGCAATCGCGGGGGCAACCGGGGGGACCCCCCAGCCTCCTTCGCCTCGTTAAGTGGAAGCCCTCGGTGGGCCCTTTGCATTGCGTTTGGTGCCAGCCTTGGCCCGTGGCCCCGCTCTGGGAGAAGCGCAGGCGCTGCGGGACCCTGTAGCGGGGTCCTGCAGGGTGCTGCGTGCTGGGGAGGGCACGCTGGCTCCGGCAGCCCCCAGCCACGTGGGTGCCTGGACCAGAGAGGGTCCCGGCTGGATCCCCCCCAGGCCCGCGGCGGGGAGGGCCGGTTCCTGTGGCCATCCTGGCCTGAGGCCAGTGCTGAGCTCATGCGCGGGATGAGCTCACGGTGGCTGCCGGACCGCAGGGTGCCGAGGGCAGCACGTGGGGATCCTCCGCTGGGACCACGGGCAGGGGGCAGCCAGGGCTCTGCCCCCCGCCTGGGGTGACCCTGGGGACTATGGAGGGGGATGCCGGGGTTAGAGGGGGTGCTGGGGGCGGGGACCTAATGCCTTTTGGGCACGGCTGGGGCTGGCTGCTCGCCGTGTCCTTGCCCCAGGTGCCCATGGGACCAGCTGTGGGGCAGGGGGTGCCGGGGTTCCCGTTGGTGGCTGCACGGCCCATGCCAGCCCCGCTCTGGCAGCGGGTCCCGTGCCAGCCCTGGTGCATGTCCCCAGCCCAGGTATGGGGCCGGGACCTGCTGCAGCCCAGGAGCCACCGTGAGGACGGGGCTGGGCCAGGCGCTGCGGGACGTGCCCACGGCCGGGGGCACCAGTGCAGGCATCAGGTGATGCCCCCCATGGTGGTGGGGGGGTGTGAGTCGGCTGGAGCTGGCGGGGGCAAGTGGAGACCCTGGGGAGGGCCAAGATCAACTTCATCCCGTCTTCTGCCCACCCTTCCATCCCTCCATCCCAGCCTTCCGCTGCCCCACCGCCCTTCCCTCCAGCTGGGGTACCCGGGGAGGGAGGGAAGGCGATGCGCAGCCCAGCTCCAGCACTCCAGCATGCGGCCACCGTGGCGGGGTGGCTTCCCCACAGGGATGGGGGTCAGCCGGGGCTGGGGCAGGACAGGTCCTGCCTGCTCAATACCGCTGTCTGGGAGCAGCTCTCCTGGCCAGGCCGTGGTGAGCTCCAGGGCCCGGCAGCGATAGCAAACACCGCAAGAGCTGCGGGGAAGGGCAGCCGTGCCGGCCGGAGGGCGCCGCGCTGGGCTGGGGGAGGCAGCAGCACCGAGCGGGTTTTTGGCAGGGGGATCCGTGCGTCCCCACGGCCTCGGTCCGGCGCAGACTGAGCCAGCAATGCAGGACAAAGCGGCGCAGGATTGTATCCAAAAGAGTTTAATGAGAAAGGCCTCAGGAGTCGGTGTGCAGGAGCGGGCGTGATGTTCCTGGCAGAGCACGGTGGTCCCAGCGCTGCCCCTCGCCCGCAGGGTACCGGTGTTGGGTTGGGGGTGCGCTGGCCCTGGGCAGCAGCTATGTGTAGAGCCGGACGGTGCCATCGGCACCGGAGGAGAAGACCCAGGGCTGGGTGGGGTGGAAGAGCACGTCGAGGACGCCCAGGTCCAACGTCAGCACGTGGCCCTTCAGCACCTTCACAGGCACCAGCAGTGGGTTCTGCAGCAGGTCGCTGCGGTGGAGGAGACAGGTCAACACCGGGCTTTGGCTCCCTCCCTCCGACCTCCCTGGGGCATCCCCAGAGTCACCCCACAAGCGCTGCTCCCCTCAAGGCGCAGGCAGCACCGCACCCTCCCTGCCCAGCAGCTCCTCTCCGCCTCTGCCGTGCCGCAGCTTGCCAGAGGAGAGGGGAGCTGACCCCAAACCCCCGTGGCTTCCCCCACCACGTACTTGTAGACCATGCCATGGCAAACGATGACGGTCCCGTCGTCCGAGCCCGAGGCGAAGAGCGGGTAGTGCTTGTGGAAGGCCACGCTCCGCAGCGCTTTCTTGTGGTGCCTGCAAAGACGGCGGGTGCGATGTCAGGGCAAGGGGTGGCCGCTCTGCCCCTGTCCTGCCCCTTGGCCGGGGCACCCGGGTCTGCGCACAGCCAGGCTTTAGGGACCCCAAGCTCTGCTGTGAATGTATAGGAGGGGAGAGGGCAACTGGGACAGACTGGGACCTGCTGTGGGCAGCTCAAACCAGCCCAGCACCTACAGCCATAGAGGCTTTGCCCTGCCCTGAGCCCTGGGAGAGCTGTGGGCACGGTCCCCCACCCCGGCACAGGAGAGCTGTGAGACACCAACACGCTGGGCAGGGCTGGCTGCTCCTGGCACAGCCCCGACGGGCTCCATCCTGCTGCCAGGTCCCAGGAGAGGGAACAGCCCTGGGAAGCTGTGGGGTTTCGGGGGGCTGCCGGCAGGTTAGTGGGGTGCAGAGGCTGGCCCTGGCCTGGGGCTCACCGCAGCAGCTGGTAGGGCCTGGTGGAGAGGTCCAGGTCAAACCAGGCCAGCTTGCTGTCGTAGCTGCCGCAGATGATGTTGTCACCTGTGAGAGGGAACAGGGCATTACTGGGGCTGCCCGCGAACCCCACGGTGTCCTGCCAGCAACCAGAGCGCTGCCTGCACCACTGGCAGCCTGGCTGAGCAGGACGCTCCCTACTGGCTTACAAGACCCAGCAGCTCCTTGGGGAGCACGCAGGCCACGTACCTCCAGGGTGGATGGCCATGCTGGACACCCACTTGCAGTTTGTCATCAGCTTCTTGGTGAGCTCCTGCTTGAGGAGGTTGTAGACGCGGACGTAGCGCTGGGTGGCCACGAAGAAGTAGGGCCGGATGGGGTGGAAGAGCACGCACTGCACCAGCCCCTTGCTCTTGCGGAAGGGGTTCTGGCTCCAGCGCTTGCTGGTCTGGTGAATCAGCACTTGCATGTTGCTGTTGTCAGAGACAACGCTGGCGAAGTAGTCGCCTTTGCCGTGCCAGGTCACCTGCTTCACGGCCTGCGGAGAGCGGGGCAGCCACGGGTCAGACCCATCGGTGGGACTGCCCCACGCCTCCCCAGGGAGCAGCCCCCCGGCCAGCCTGGCTCCCGTGGGGCCTCCCCGTCCCCACCTTGCTGTGCTGGACCACCAGCCGGACGCCTCTGCCGTGCTCCTCCATGGTGGCTGTCACCCACTGCACGGGCTGGACCCGCTCCTCCTCCGGCGCCACGTAGGACTCGAGCAGCTGGTCGGTGGCCCCGTAGAGCAGCTTGTCCCCGAGGCAGGGGTTCACCAGCAGCACCGACTGCTCCCTGCGGTGTGGGACGAGTGTATGGGTCAGGGCATCGCCCAGGAGAGGAAACCCCTCTGCAAGCCCCACGCTGCCAGGGGATGGCCCCAGCCCAGGGCCAGGGCCACGGGGAGGGATGTGTGGGACTCTGCGAGCAGCCAGGCCCTTCTGTAGGCCAGCAAAGAGAGGAGAGCTTGGGGCAGCTCGGTCATAGCCCGAATGCCCCGGGGAGGATGGTGGGGACTGACTGGTGTCTCCACAGAAGAATGAGGGCCACCAAACAAAGCGGGAGGCAGGGTCACAGCGAGCAGAGGTGGCTTTGCACACCACAGTGCGGCCATTCTCGCTGCTGGGGGTGCCACAAGTTTGCAGGTGTTCCTCGGAGGCTGGACAGGCTTTGGGAGAGGAAATCCAGCAACTGCTCCAGCTCAGGGAGCTCCTGGCTGGAGGATGATGAAGGCCACGCTGGGACACTCACACGCAGATGGCCACCAGGCAGATGGTGGCGTGCTGGGGTGGGCCAGGGCCAGGGCCAGGGCCAGGCACGGCTCCCCCCAGGGATGCTGCACCGGGGGCTGCCACGGCTCGGCTCAGCGGCACGGGGCTCCGGGGCACGTCGCCAAGCCAGAGGGGAGAGCAGCCCCGAGCCCCACAGCACTGCCCCTGCCCACAGCCTTTGGGGAGGAGCACTGGGAGCAGCAAGAGGGACGCAGCAGCGCCCCAGCGCCCGCGATTCCCTAGCAGCTTCTCTGCATGACAGCAGCTCCAGCACCACGAAGGCGAGACGTGACCGGGGGCTGCTGCCGAGAGAACAGGCCCCCATCCTGCTCCCTCCAGCTCCGCGTCTGTGCCCGTGGTCCCCCTCCTGATGCGCGCAGCTCCCGGCGCAGCTGCTGTGCTGGCAGGATGCCTGGCTCAGCTCGGCACGGCATGGTGCGGCCCCGTCTAGCTGTGAGATGCAGGCAGGCAGCTCCCCAGGCAGGCAGTTCCCCGGGCAGGCTTTTCCACGGGCAGGCGTGGCGGGGGGGGGG